AGCAAATACACCATATGGATCTCGAGATAATTTTTGAACTATTGGCAATGCAAATGCCATAGTTTTTCCTGAGCCTGTCTTGGCATTTCCTATGCAGTTTTTTCCTATGTTTCTATTAGTTTATACAGAGAAATGATAACTAATATTAAAACCCTCCAAAATAGGTGCAATACATGCTGCTTGGATAGCTGTTGGTTTTGTAATAGCAATTTTTTCCAACGTTTCAATCAGCCATGAATGTATGCCACAAGCCTTAAAAGAAATACTAGATGTTTCAGAATCAGATGATATTTTTCTATGAAGTAGATTGGGTTTTGATATAGTTTTATTTTCTATTTGTGTTTCTGTGCCTGACATTGATAAATATTTGAATGTTTTAGTTTTGTTTATTTTTTGATATCCTTAAGGTTTTAATACATATTTTTAATGTTATTTAATGGTGTTGAATGAGAAATAGATCGGCTAAAAGAAGTATCTATCTTAATGATTGGTTGCATATGATAATATATATTATATATTCGTCGAATTACCATTTATATATGGAATATTTAATTGAACATTAAATAATATTATTATTGCTATTAATTGAAAGCTTAATGTATATATTATATATAAAAAATAATCTTTAAGAGGACGTAAAATCTAATGTTACATGTATATAATATGCATGGTTATGTATGTATATGTAAATCCATTATCTTATGAAATATTTGTTTTCATTGAAGTACTTATTTTTTTTCTTATTGATAAATTATACTGTATATATATGTTATATGTACATTGTATATGTTGTACGTTTTATATGTACTATTGATTTTGGATGCGTATCGTTCGAAGGTTTAACATTTTCTTCAACCTGATAGAAGGTAAATTTGAATAAAAGATCAAGTAAATCTGATAATTATTATAAGATATATTTTTTTTGTTGAATTTTGAGACTCTTAGATTAGTTGCTGAAATGTCAGAGTCACGGCATGAATTGGTTGCGTGGTTAAACCAGGTAATTTTAAAAATATTTGAAAATAAGTTAATAAGCCAAAACAGTTAACTAATTTGAATATTACGAAAGTAGAAGAATGTGGGAAAGGTGGGATTTTTTATGTATGTCTATATAAGTAGTTAATGAAGATAAGGGTATGTTTATGCACATGTGTTTGATTCAATATATGGTAAGAAGCATGAATTGTTATGAAAATATTAATGTAAAGGTGGTGTTCCTTTTAGAAAAATAAACGTTTGTTTATTCTGTAAAAATTATAAAAGAATTGACAAATTATAGTTTAATTGTAATAATGAATACCAATATCTTCAGAATTGGAGAGTGATTCAGAGCATTTTTACACAACATAAGATTGATAAGGTTGTTTATGTGGATAGACTCATAAAATGTAAATTTCAAGATAATTTGGAATTTCTTCAGTGGGTTAAAAAGTTTTGGGATCAACATTTTAGTGGTGTGGAATATAATGCTTTAGGAAGAAGAGGGGGCAAAACTGCTAGCTCTCCAGGATATTCTGCTGGGTCTTCTAGTTTACATGAGCAGCCAAGTCGAAAAGTATCTACGGTTAGTACTATGTCTACACGTGTTTCTTCGAATCCAAGTATTGCTTTTTTGAATTCTCAGATAAAAACTTTACAGGAAAATGCAGCAGGATTAGAAAAGGAAAGGAATTTTTATTTTAATAAGTTACGAGATATAGAAATTCTTGTTCAGACTGCTATTGATGCAGATCCATCGGCCGCTCAAAATGAAGAAAGTCTTTTAAAGCAGATACAGAATATATTATATTCTATAGAGGTAGTTATTGATGTATATATTGTCTAAATATAAACGGTAATTAGGAGGGATTTGAAGTCCCTGATTTAAATGGAGACGAAATTAATAAACAGATGGATAGTCTCCAAATAGAAGATGATGATACTTTTTAAGACCAATTTTTGTGAAAGGCGTTTTAGCTATTGTACATATGTTAATATTTTCTTTTTAATTATATTTTTATATATGATTTAATATTGTTTTATTGTCATATATTGTTTTGGTTCATGAATGTTTTATTTCTCTTCTAAATATGAAATATTTTTTACTGATTTTAGCAGATTTTGTATCTAATTTTTTAAGATTCACCGGATATACTTTTATCAAATAATTTTTTTACTATTTCTTTTAAATTCTGAGGAGCAGCATCCCCTTGTATCTATAATTTTAATTAACAATTTCAAATAAAAATATTATACTTTTTTAATAAAAGCTGTTAAGCTTTTTGGATCAATTTCTGTTTTTCCTCTGGGTCCTAATAAATAAATATAGCCTTTCTCTTCTTCGTTTGAAGATGTAATGTTGTCCTTTATTTTTTCTAAATATCCTTTTTTTACCATTTCTTTTAAAGTTTTATCAAGGTTTCCTATAGATGTATCGTTATCCATTTGTAATTGTGATAAATATCTTGCAAGAAGTTCTAAATAATTTAAATAGAATTTTTCTAATGAAACTTATATCTACCATTTGAAATTTCTCCGCCATTCATAATCAATATGCTTAATATTGTCATAATCATTCCAGAAAAAACACCTTCTTTGATAGTTGGAATATCAAAAATTAAGTCTGAATATTTAGGATCTAAAATGCTACATAATATCCAGCTTTTGTTCAAATGTGACATAGAAAATGGATTATGTATTTGAGAATTCTGATTTTTACGTAAACGTGATGTAGACATATGTCCGCGATTATTTTTATAGGGTAATTCCACGAGTTCCATACCAAAAACATCTCTGAGTTTTTCTTGTGTTTTTTCAAATACAATAGTAAAAGAGCGTGAATGTGACGGCAAAAGGACTTCTATTTATAATAATAGTAATTAACTTATATTTATGTACCTTTTTTTGAAATATCTTCTTTTTTTATGGGTATTCTGTTATGTTCAAGAGCAAGTGCAAGTCGGATAAAATTTTTAACCATAAGATTCAGATCTTCCTAATTTATTATAAATTACACTAATAGAATGATAAATTTTTATGGTATACATCACTTATAGTATTTTTTGCTGATAAGTTATTTTCCATTTGTCTAGATGCTGCTTCAGTTGATATGTTTGATCCATTATTTTGGGATGAAGATTCTAACACAGATGTAGATGCTTTTCCCAAAATATTTTCGTTTCTTTTCATTTTTCTATAGCTTGTTTGGTTAAATGTTTATAAAAAACATTATGAATTGCCTTTCTGTTACATGTTTCTGTCTTGTTTTCATTTACTTTTGGTTAATAGAAATATATAGATAGTTTTTAGTCTTTAATAAAAGAAAAAAAACCCAGATCATTCTTTTATAATCTTCATGTGACTATTTTTTGTTAAAAAAGTTGGATAAAAGGGTGATATAAGATTTTTGGATCGTTTATTTCAGTAGACGTTTTATAAAAAAAAATGGTTCAAGTTTATGAAGATTTTGAAAAATATAGGAATTTAGTCCCCTCTTTTCGCATTATCTCTGGTACTTATGAGGGTATTCTTTACGGAATTGATGTGATATTGTCTTTGAAAGATGATATGAAGATAAATACTCATTTTAATCCGGTTTGGATGTTTGAGTCAAATGAGGGATGTATTCATACAATTGCTAAAGGTGGACGATATCTTGTATGTGGAGGTGTAGATGAAGTAATTAAGTATTTTTTTTTGTTTAAAAAAAATTTATTGAAAAAAGATTATATGATTTAAGGAAAAAAAAAGATATTGGATCTCTTCATCACCAATCAGGGACAATTACTGGTCTTGTATTTTCTTCACTTGCTTCTCCTAAGTTTCTTATATCTGTTTCTGATGACGGTACAATGGCTTTTTTTCGTACTAAAGACTGGTTGCCTCTTAGTACAGTAAAAACTCATCATGGCCGTGTAAACTCTATTTCTATTCATCCAAGTGGGAAGATTGCTCTTACAGTTGGATCAGATAAGAATATTCGATTATGGAATATGATGACTGGAAAAAAAGCAGGAAAATATAATCTAAATAAAAATGAGGCATTTTATGTTCAATGGAATACATTGGGCACTCAGTATGCTGTATTATTGAATAAAGAAGTGATGGTGTATGATATGGTTAGAAATTTTATTTTGAATTAATATTTTTTTTGATTTATTTAGTCTGCAACGCTTATATATCGTTTTTCGTCATTAACTCGATTAAATTCTATGCATTATACTATATCAAAAGGAAACCATGAAGTACTGATTTTGGGTTCTCAAAATGGGTGTTTACAAATATATGATTCTAGTAATGGAAAACTAATTGTAAGTTTCGTTGCGCATGAAAATAGGTAAATATTTTCTGATAGATTAAAGTTTATTTATTATTTATTTAAATAGAATCAAGGCTATTGCATCTTATACGTATCAACCTGTTAATGTATCTTTTTTGATTCTTATAACTGCATCATCAAATGGTTCAATAAAATTGTGGGCTGAATATCAGGAATTTTCTTTTCATCAAATAGGGGAATATAATTGTGGAAAGAGTAGAATTACATGTATGATTACTGATTCTTGTATCGAAAATTTGAATAAAAAAACTGAAAATTCTGATTAAAAAAGATATATGAATCACAAGCGAAGTTAATGTCGAATCAAGTAAAAATAAATTTAATATAAAAGAAAACGTCCTATAAAAAATTATTGTATATAAAAAACATTATATTTTTATTTGTTATATATATTTTAAAATTTAAAAGAAGTTTTAAAATTTGCTATTTATTATTTTTGAGCTTTATTAAATGAGACTTGGATTTTTTTATAATTTTAAAATTGTATTTACTTTTAACTTATTTTTAAGTTTAAATTTGTATTGTAAATTAGTTTTTTAGAATCGTATTAAGTTTAATAATATAGGTTAAAGTTTGCATATACTTCAGATAATTAAATTCAATTCGTAAAATAAAGATTGAATCATTTATTTGTTAAAGCATTGATATACTTTTAAATATCATGTTTTGCTAGATAAATAATGATTCGATGGTCTAGTTGGTCATGGCGCCAGTCTAACACACTGGAAGTCGGGAGTTCGAACCTCCCTCGAGTCACTTTTTTAATATAAATCAATTTAATATATTTTGTAATTATTTGATTATTTTTATAATTAGTGTAGATTAACTTTTAAAGACAAAATTTTAAAATATAAATGCTTAAAAATATAATTAAATAGAATTATGTAATATAAAGATGATTAAATAGAAAAAAATATTTACATTTGAATTATCAAAGATTAATTAGAATCGTAGAATGCTATATAAAAATAGATGAAGGGGTTAATAACATATATAATAAAATGATGTTTAGAAATAAACTTGTAGAATTTAATCAACATTTGTATCGTCAATTTGAAATCTAATTGATTTTTTCTTTTTAGATAATAAAGGTATTTTTATTGCTTCTGTTTTTTGAGATGTTTCCTCTAATTTTTTTTGAGGATTTCTCATTAACTCTTCACTTTCAGGAAACTGTTGAGGATTCATTTTTATTAATTTTTTGGCATCTTCTAATAATTTTGTTTTATTTCCTGCCATGCGATGTTTATAAAATATGCGCTCTCTTCGTGCACGAATCTCGCAGACACGATTAATAGCCTTGAGAGTGGTGGCGACTATATCTCTATTATAACGAATAGGAATATTTCTACGAGCAGCAAATGTAAGTGTAGTATCCTAATTTTGATAAGCATAATCCAATGCTGCATTTTAAGACAACTCACAATAGCCATTTCTTTTCCTCTGGCCTTTCTGAATGCTTTTGGAGAAATGTTAGAGATAAAATAAGGATATTATGTATAGAAAAAAACCTTTCGTCCAAGCAACCTAGAAAAATTAGTTTTTTTGATAAATTTGAAAAATGTTAAACCTTTCTGGGATTACGTCTCATTTTAAAATTTTTATGACATTTTGATCTACAAAATCGAAATTCCTTGGCATCATTTCTTACAAACATAATCTATAAAAAAATTAATTTATATATATATATATTTTATATTAACTCCATGGCCCGGATAAATTGGTCCTGAGCAAAACTGATAAATATGAGTTTCTCATTATTAATAAGCATATAACTACATAACATGTATAAATTCTATTTAAATATTAGTATAGTGTTATGTAACTATTATACTACCTCATTGATCAGATTTTATTTTTCTATGATATCCTTAAAGTGGGTTTTGATAAAACTTTGAAAATTATGGTTCTTTTCCTTAAAATTGGAGCCTATTATTGAACGAATATTTATGATAAAAATTCAATAATTTTTGTTACATTTTTTTATTCGGTCGATAGTTTGGATTTCTGTAAATTTGATAATTTAATGAAAATTAGAGTAAAAATAATTTCAAAATAAATCATATAAATTTTATACTGCTTTAAAATATTTTAATTAAAAAATTTAAAATAATAAATAATAAAAAAATAAAAAGATATCTTTTAAATAATAACCCTTATATACGAAAGATATAAAAGCACTTTACTATAAATATTTTTAATTAGAAAATAAAAATTTATATAATAAATATTATTTTTTCCATAAAGACAGGAATTTATTTAGAGCAAAGCTCATGTTAGCTGTAGTTAAATCCATTTTTATTCTAGATAATGAATTTTATGTCCAAAAGGACTATAAAGATATTGTTTATTATATTTATTTTTACAATTATTATTTATAATTTTGTTAAGAGTGACCACTTTTTTTTTCGAATTTAATTTATCCTTTTCAAAATTTTTGAGACTTATAAGATATCTTTGTAGTATCTGAATAATAGATATTAGGAATATTTTTGAAAAGTTCTTTTTAGTTGGAATTGTTAATGCTTTTAGATTGTTTAGCCGCTAGAAATATATATTAATTGATTCTTTGGTATGTTTTATAGGATGTTTTTCAAACATCTTATCTAGATTTGATTTCTGTTAAAGAATTGTACTATGATTTTTATAGGAAACTTGAGTTAAATTTTGCTGAAAATAAACTTTATTTCTTTTAACTTAATTAATAGTCTTATTTGTGCTACTGAAAATAGTTAAATAATAGTTCAATGAAAAAAATATTTACATTTTATTGTTAATTTTTTGTTATAAGGACTCATTTTTATCTATAAAATTTTTAATATAACGATTTTGCTGGATATATGCTCTTTTGATTGCTTATTTGATTTTTAAATGTATAGTTTATGCAATTCTTTTCTATATTAGGTTAGTAAGTTTTTAAATGAAGTTAAAAACTATAAATGTTATTATTTGTAATGATAACTTTCAAGTTCTTTAAAAGGCTATATTTTGATGTTTTAAGGATTCATAGTTTTTTGAATTTTTAACTTGTTTTAATGCTTCTTTTTTCTCTTTAAGTCCAATTTCTAGACTAAATGTATTTTTTGCGTTTTCAATTAGTTAAGATGTTATCTTATGAAACTTATAATTAATGCTGTAATAATATATAATCCGTAGAATTAGAGTATTTATTTAGTAATTCAAAGATATTTTTCAATTAGTTTAATATTTTTCTTGTATATTCTTTTAAAATCTTGCAAGTTTATAATGAACTATAATTGCTCTTGGATTCTTCTCATTTTAGATTTAGTTTTTAATGTTAAATAATGCTAGGTTTAGGATTATATAATGTAATAAAGTAGTTTATTTTAAAACAATTTGTTTATAGTTGTTTTTTATGAATTCTAATAATATAGAAATTAAAAAAACGCGTTTAATTTACATTTTTACTACATAAATTCTTAATAGCAAATTGTAGATTACAAATAGAGATATTTATAAAAAAGGTAATTAAGTATACGTTCATATAGTTAGGGTTAGGTATGAAAATGTTTAGCTCAAGTTGCATGATTTAGGCGATAAAATGAACGGTCTGATTGTTATTGAACATATGGGTACTCGAGGTAGGTTTTATGAATAAGATAACGTGTTTTTAAAAAGAAAATTAGAATTTGCCTCAAATAATCCCTTTCGATTGATTTCTACGTCATCATCAATTACAGGTTCGTCTGAAGATAGATTTAACCCATTTTTGGATCGTACAGAATATAAAAATGTATCTCATATGGCTACAACTGTTATTGCCGTATGTTTTAAATTGAAAAATGAATATGAAAATAAGCTAAGTAAAGCTATAGAAGCCAAAGTCACAACATACAACGTCACGAACGGCTTCTCAATGGGAACGTAAACCGTTTCATCATTCGAAGCAGGATGTTAAAACAATAATTCCTAGTAACGAGCGTACTCAAAGTAATTTTGAAAGTAATGTTTTTGATTCTCATAAAGGTACTCATCGAAGCCATAAATTTTTTCCATTTAGTAAAGAGAAAGAACAAGAAAAGGCTATCTTGAAAGAAAATTCTAAAGAAAAAACAAATGATCATCCTCGTAAAGAAAGACGATCACGTATACATGTAGATCGTATTGACTTACTTGATGTAACTGCAGTATATGGCTCAGGAGGTATTTATTAATGGTTTCTTTGTTTTGGATTTATATATTTTTTAGCATTTCATCATGATGGGCCATTTGATGCTTGTAATCCTTATCGTAATAAAAGCTCCAAAAAAGATCCTGTACTTGCTTTTCATGAAGATAGCATGTCTATGTCTTTTTCAAAAATGGACGCTGAGAATTCAAAGTTTTCAATTGATAAATATTTTGGAAATCGAGATGTTGAGGCGTATAATGAATTTTCTCCCAGTGCTTTTTACTCTAGGAAAAATCGTTCTTCCGGTTTGTTTAGAAGTTTTATTTTTGAATTAACTAAAAAAGTAGATTTACACCACGGTTCTGCTAGATCTGGTCTCGGTACTTCCACTTTTTTGGAGGGTACTCATGCCAGTCAAGCTTCTATACGACGTGTTGCATTATTATCAGATGAAGAAAAGAATGAGAAAGATAACAAGTTATCTGGTTTTCAAGGGCATTGTAGTACTCATGATAATGATTTGAATTGCAAACGTAGTTTTGCTCACCGTATTCGTGGTTCAAAAAAAGATTCTCATTCTAATTTTTTATCTACTTATTCTATGGATTCTTCGTATTTATCTGAAACTTCTGGCCAAATTGATGTGGAAAAAACTACATTTAGTACTAAAAAAAAAAACATCTCAATACCGCAGAATAATTTTCAGACAATTTCTTCTGATAATTCTGAATCATCATGTGCTAGTAAAGGATTGCTTAATCGCGTTCGTAGCTTAAAAGTAGGAGGTAGTAGAGATAATCACAGTGAGAATCAGTGATTTGGTTATTTTAAAAAAATATATATAATATTGTTTAAGACAGGTTTGTAAAATATTGTTGATATCCTCTAAATAATACTTTTAATAGTATTTGTGTATTTGATATTAGCTTCTTTTATAATTATGTTTTTACGTAAAGTTGGTATAATTTATAATATTGTATATTTTTTTGATTTGAGTAATTATATATTATGTTCGTTTTTTTATATCCTGAAAGTTTATCTTAATTGTATACTAAGATCACTAATATATTTTATTAAAATTTAATTATAAAAAGCATTGAAACAAAATACTTTTTATATATTTTTGATAATTGTATTTAAGAATTATATTTTTAGATTTATAGATAAAATTATTGAGCATAAAATAAAATTATCTATTTTTGTAATTTGATATAATATTTGTATATTAATTTTTTAAAATAATAGTTTTATTAAAAATATAAATTCTTTGAAGTAATTTTTTGTTTCAAGTTGATTTTTTAATATAAATTATATTGAAATTTGATTAAATAATTATAAATATATTATTGAACTTTTTTTAAATAAACATGTGATTAAATTTATTTTGTATATATGTAAATATATAAATTATTTTCCTAAAAGGGTTTTATATAAAGGAGAAATGTTATTTTATTTTAAAAGCTCTATAATTTTGGTATAATCATCTTTAAGTTAATTTTTTTTGCAAAAATTTAAATAAGAATTAAATTTATATGTATGTGTAATGAAAAAAAAATAATAGTAACGTTCTTATAAACTTAAAATCAGATTACAACCATATCAAATATATTTACATAAAAATCTA